CAATGACACTAGCGATCAAAATAAATGCATACACAATGCTGATTTCAATTTAAGAGGTAAGTGTGAACTTATTAGGCAACATCAGCATGACGTACCCTGGCCAGGTAAAGAATGAAAAAAAAAATGAAATGCCAGTCTATCTGCTACAACAGGAACGTTGACCCACAGCCAAAATGCTTTCTTGTCTCTCAGGTATAATCTCCCAACAAGCATACAAGGACCCACAAATAAGCAGCAAGATATAGATTTCCAGAACTGTACATAAATACAAACTGTGCATACATTGCATCGAAGCTAACGTCGCCATTAAACGAGCCGTTTGTTGTATTCAGCATGAGGCAGTTTTTTTAAAGAACATCTTTGCCACAAAGGTTCAAGTGTTTATTCTTTTAAAAGGTCTTCTCAATCACAACAACAGGCATCCCCTAACTCTCCCTCTGGGGATGCACATGATCCATTATACTGAAAAAGAACACTATGTACAATTGGTATCTAAAGAGGAAAATGCAACTGCTACGCAAGACATGAAAGCAGTAACTCCGGTCCGGGTAGAGATCATTAGCAGAGGATCCAGTGGTCTCAGGCAGCGAGTTGCCTCTCAAGAGTCAACATCAAAGACACCGTATAGAGAAGGGAAATCATTTAGAATGCAGGGGGGAAAGCTGCAATTGACTGGTCGAGCTGAACCTATACTTCTTAGGTAGCTCTCGACACTAATTATTAATATACTGAGAACACGGTAGGGGCAACCGCTGTATATAATATACTATAGTTACAGAAAGCACAATGACCACACAGTGGGAGGTCAAGAATTTGCGACCAAACAGTGTCCACTATGGCGGCATATCACACTCACGTGCCTCTCACTTTGACATGAAAGCAGAAATCCCTTTTCTGAGGCGAACGCAACCTCAAAGGAAGTTTTGGGGCTTCAGTCGATACTCAAGAGCGCAGACAAGACAGCTTCATTTGTGGGGAGCACTGGTTTGCTTGTTTTTAAAAGGTGCAAGCTACTATATTAGTTTCAGTTTCTTATTGTTCATGGGCAAGATCATGTCTTCCGTTTGCTTGGAAAGCAAGGTTCTTTGGAAATCACCTGCTGCAAGTTTTAATACAAAATGAAAAATAACCTCTAGTCCGATCCTTGCTTTTCAAGGTCGGTGGAATGGAACCCAACCGTTTCTCAGTATCGGTCAGGAGCTAAAGGAGGTTGTTTCTGGGATGAAATCTTGGCACGCCTAGATCATGCGGACCGTCAAAACATCATGAATATATCATATGTGACCTCACTTTGTTAGATGCTGGAATATACAATACAAATATGTTGAAGCCTGAGATTTTCTTTCTGGGTATTTCCTGTTCCTCAACTAATATTAATTATTTGTTAGTGTTTTTTTATTATTATTTGAAAAAACGTGTAGCATTTCTATGGAAAATATAGGCTACCATGACATTTTAGTAAAATTTATATAATATATATATATATATATATATATATATATATATATATATATATATATTAGTCTGGTATCACAGACTGCACCACCCAGCTCAGGGTCAGCTTCATTACACAAAACATTAGAATGTTGACCTGTTGAGGCCATCATTGTTGTCCCTTTAACTGTCCCTTTATGAGCCGTTAACATCTCTTTGTATACCTAAACATAATTTATTTTGGACATTTTTTTTTGCATTCCATATAAAAGACTTACAATACATTTCTACAATATACTATGACACACCGCCTTGTATGTTAAACACACACACATTATAAGGCTCTGCTGAGCAGAACATCATCAGGACAGCGCTGCTGAGTGATGGAAGAAGGTGGTTCAGGGTTATATCAGGGTTATATCAGGGTTATAAGGGAACACAACCACCATAGCTCCAAGCTATTCGGACTGCTGATATCCAGCATCCACACCACCTGGGGTCAGTTTTAGCACATAGGGGATTCGATTTTGGTATATTTTCCCATGTTATGCAATTGTTTATGTAGATATTTTATACTGTGATTTTTTACTTTGTAAACATTACTACCCTGAACATTGATTTTTACCAAACTCTACACTGCTGTAAATAATAATACAGACAGTGGTAGTGACTGTCTTGGAGTGACTAATGTGTCTGTTTATCACACTACGGTCAGTATATTGGTCACTTGGCAACACTAGACGGTCTTCAGTATTTACTTTGCGGAGACATGAAGAGTTATGTGCAAGTGGGACGGAAATGAATAATTCACAACAAACCGTTATCAGGGTTAAATTATGTGCATTTCAAGAAATCATCTGTGTTTGTAGAACGTGGCTGTACGCGCATGAAGAACAAAGTCCTGTGTTGTACAAAAAGCCAACTAATTACCATATGAATGTGTAGACATTCTTTCGTGTGATGCTACACTAGTCGCTGCACTGCCTCGTGTTGGGCAAACTTTCGAGATCTTTGAGATGTATAGTTAAAAGGAGCGTGGACACAAGCCAGAGGAGGAGGGGAGACTAGTTTCAACTTGACCACACAAAGACAGACAGAGGGTGAGGTCTCAGTGCAGGCATGTCACACAGGTGAGCTCAGGTTACCACCCTGAGGATCAAACAGCACGCAGCGAAACCCTTCTGCAGGATGCTCCGCTTTGGTAGTTTTCTTCTCATGGCTCTCAGACACAGATCAAATAACTAAAAGCTGCAGAGGACACTTTACAATGCGCAATAACTACCTGCCTGAACTTGGGGCTTGGGTAACTAAGTTCATCTAAAGAAAGAACCAAATAGAACGGACCAAATTTAGTATGATTAATGCGGCCAAACTGTTAAGCACCGTGAAGCACTGTGAAATTTTTGTGCATCCAGACCAAACAATGGCTGGATAGATCAATGGAGGAAACGGAGAATTAGCCCACGTTCAAACCAAAGCATAGCAGTTTTTTTAGAATCAAAAGCCCAGCGTTGCTGTTGGACATGTCATTATTGTCACTGGTGAAAACATAAGGAGTCCAGTCGAGTAATCCATAAGCTGGAAAATGTATGAAATGCCACAACACAACCCAGCAGTACTGAGAAGTCACGCCAGTGTTACAGCAGTCCTTGTTGTGTCCTCTACCAGAAGTGACCCTCTACCACGGCTGAGGTGAGTAAGTGGTTTTGTGAGAAAGAAAATAAAAAAATAAAAATCAATGTGGGGGTGGAATTTAGCTATTGGTCAGAATATATTTCTTTTCCGATTTGAAATTGTGTCATCATTGGAATCAGTTGTGGCCGATGTGATAAAATACTAAAACATGATATAAAATGAATAAATGTGAGCTGCTAGTTTTCTGCGTTCCAATTAGCAACTTGAGATGAAAGACTCAAAATTGTACATGCCAATTTTAAAAATCAATAAAAACCTCCATCTTCATGGATTCAGAGATTGCATTCGGGCCAATGCGTCCTTTCCTATCGACAAGGACTGTTTACCTGCATTCAACCAAAGTCTGCTCAATGGTTATTGGTAAATATTACTCAAGACAACAAAAAGGAAAATCGAGTGCTTTAGATACTAAAAACATCTTAATCAGTTGAACGCTGTAGAACGTAGGAGCCTCTTTAAAACATTCATCATTCTCCATAGAATGTTAAAATGTTTGAAAAGTTCTTGTGTGACGCAATGCATTTAGCCAAGTTATTCGTCTGGATCACCGAGCACATCAACAGACCGTGAAGGAATAGTCTGAAGGAGTGGGGGTTTTTTTGTTGTTGAGATTTTTATTGGAGTTAGAACCATTCCGTGACATGAATTCATGAGATCGGGATGATGCCATCACTCTCTTTTAAAAACAGATGATCACGCTGCATTTCCCTGCGCGAGTTTAACATCTACCACTGCAAACCTTCTGTAGTTGATCATGTGTCCTTGGTGCAGCAGTTAAGACGCTAGCGTTTCTCTGGTGTCCAACTCCCCTTGACAGATGCATTTAGTCGAATCGCCATAAATACAAGCGGCTGAAACACAAGCTCCACCTTGTGTTCCCAGTGGTAAGATTTTTCTTGTGCTACAAGAAAAACAATATTTATCTTAGCAGCATGAACTGCAGAAAAAAAAACTGTTACATTAAACACGTATTCAAAAAGGTGTATATTGTTTACACTTTACTACAACAGCTGTTGCAGCGCATTGCTATTCCGTTTGAAAACACTGAATAAAACCATTTCAATAACACGTTATGTCCCAGGAGTCTAATCTGCTGCAGCGCACCTCAGTCACCTCTGCGATCACACCGCTTATGATTATTGAAGCCTCCCCAGAGAAACACGACAGGGAGGACAACACTTTCTGCAGCCCACGGTGACGCTGCAACTCACTTGACACCGTTAAGGTCACAGGAGTGTAGCAAAGCCGCGCAAACGAGCGATGCCCCTTTCGGTGCGGTCACCCGCACATGGTCTATGATGCAGTAACGCAGCCTGGATCATCGGCGCGCTACAAGGGACGAAAAAGATGCAAGAGTCCGATTAAAATGACTCCGCTTCATGCAACAATTTACCGCACCGAGGCCGTGCTGAGGCTTTTCCTCCTCCCGAGCAACGACCACAGCACCTCGGTGGGGATGACGGCGGACGGGTCGCCTCGCCTGGTTCACTGCATGTCTTGACAAAACCAACATGCCGCCGCTGAAGGAAATCCGTTATTTGTCAGCGGAGCCGCTGTGCAAGGATGCGCGTTCATATCATGGCCCCCCCCCCCCCCCCTTCCCATAAAAAAATATAATAATAATTCAGTGACGTCTCAATGAATGAATCGACTCAAGATGCGCAACAAGGCGTGAAAGGAAAACGCGCTGGACGGCTGCGCTCGCCCCATTGCGGCTGCTTCTGCCCCCTCCTCGTAAACTTGAACGATTGAGTGATGCGGCCATGCGTAACAAAAAGAACGGCACTAGGACCACGCGGGGGTGAGATCGGACATCGACGTGATCCTTGGCACGATTAAAGACCGCACGCGCGCGGGTCTCCTTTACGTACCGGCCACCACGCGCGTCCGCATCTGACGGCCATCTGTTCGGACATTGAAGTCCTCGCGCGTCTGCCCGTCCGCGTCTCCGAATCCCTCCGCCCGTCCGTCCAAGGTCCGCCCGTCCACGGACCACGCGTGTTGTTTCCACACCGCCAGAGTGGGGCGGAGCCCGCGGGTCCCTTTGAGACGGCGCGCCAGTGGATGGAGGGAAACGCTACTTATTCATCGTCGCAGCCAATCGGCGTTCAATGACGGTGTGAAACACATTGCAGCTCAAGAGTGTGTTTAGGTTTTTTTTCGGAATGACGCGAGAAGTCTAAGCAAAATAATCTGTGAAATAAAAAATAAAAACGAGGCATTTTGTGCTGTCTGACCATTCGACCTCCTGCACAGTGCGAGCGCACACGTGCAACAAGGAATGTGATGGAGATTTGATTGATTGCAACTTCACATGCAGTTATATTCACCCACACGGCGTAGTTTTTTTTGGAGGAATATGAAGAAAAAAAAAAAAACAGCTGATCAAATTGAAACCTTTTTTTAATTTTCAATGCGAGTTACAAGGTGTGACCTTAATGTACAACAGGGGTTGGCCGCGGTAACAGGGTTTACACTACCCTCTGCTGGCAGGACATGAATCTTCCACTTCAAATGAAATCAAACTTCTTAACTCAGGAATTAAACATTAGTGTGTTACAAAAGCCATTTCGCTAAAAACTAAATACCAAAACGGTGATTGAATTATAGATTTTCAGTCTCCTTCCTTAGACAAAAACTATGGTAAAGGGAATACGCTCAAAAATACAGACGTTGCCTTTGTTTTTTCCCCTCCAACTACTAAGATTAGACTTCAGCATGAACTACACACTTCAAATATACAAAAAGATAGCAAACAGCTACGAGCATGTACAGTATTTACAACAAAAGGTCTCTCCTCTGGTGAACTTGGAGGTGCGTGGATCACATTCAGAACACTGTCTGTGTGATTGTTCATGTGACGGTAAGAAAAGGGTGCGGTACTAAAAGAAGTCTAAGCACCCTCAATTATTTACAGCAGTTCCTTGTTGAACCAGATGTCGTGATACTGATCCGTCACAGTGATCCCGACGCCTCTCCCCTCAGGTCTGTCATTCTGCCTGCTTCTACCACCTCCCTCTCTGGAAGGGCGGGCACCCAAACCCTGCTCTCCCGTTTCTGAAATGCATCCCTTCCCTGTCGTGCATGCCGTCTGGTCCCATGGAGAGATGCCGATGGAAAGGAGGGCCGCGAGGCGGAAAGGGCATGGGCATCCTGAACCTCTCCGGAGAAAACACGGGCCGTCCGGGCATCATTTGCGGGTGATTGTGCGACATGTTTGGAGGCGAGAGGAAAGGAGGTAGATGAGGATTCGGCATGTTGGGGGGAGGCTGCAGAGGGGGCATGCCCAGTCTGGAACCCTGCATGACTCCCGTGCCCGGCAGGGTCATCACCGGTGCTGTGGGAGAACCCAGCTGGTGGTCGGCGCACATATCCAAAGGCATGCCTGTGTCTCCTATAGAGTCCTGGATGGAGTCCTCCGGGTGTTTTACACTACCTGCAGCAAAGAGGATAAGATGACGTTTGGGATTTTCATAAATCCACAGTTGGATTTAAGTAGTGTGGCAGCACAAAAGAGGACGTTTCATTGAGCCACTGACAACACTGCAGCATAGACCTGTTCATCTCATCATCATCCTCTTCAAGGAGAAGTTACTTTAATAAACATGAAAGCACTCACATCGCTCCTTCAGCTGATAGAAAAATGAACTTACTCGGTGCCAACTTGGTCGGGTCAAACTCGGTGGAGATGAAAGCAGCTCCTCTTGGAGGCATAGACGTCGGCGACAGCAGGATGGGGCCAGGAAAAGCAGGTGGACTTCCAATGGGTGCCGCTCGCTGAACTGGTGGCATCTGGAAGACAAAAGAAACACAAACGGCATCCTTGGTAAGGTTCAAGTAAGACGAACACGAACGCTTTCGTGCAGCAGTGAACTGTCAGAAGGCACATTTTGTGACTCCAGTGCATGAAGCAGCATAATGATGCACATTAAGGGGAAACAATCTTTGGACACAACATTTCACAACAGTTTACCCTGTTTTTTTTTTAGAAGGGTCCAGAAAACAACAACAGCAATGTAAAATACACACAAAATGAGGCCGCAGACTGGCAGCACACTGGGCAAATGAAATGCAAGGAGCAAATCTTCAGAAATCCCACTCAGTTTTGTTCATGGCAAACAGGTTTTGACTGGTAGTTGTTTGTCCTGTAAATGCAACACTGTAAGATGAATCCATTATCCAAACCACCCTCCATATCCTTCCCCTTCCTGCAGGGGGGGGGGCACGATCCAAAAGCTCCTAACAGGCAAAGGGCTGAAACACCCAGAGGACCCCCCCGCGCTGACCGAGGGGGAACAAGCAAAAGGGGCCCGGGCCCGTCTTGCTGAGAGGTGAGCGTACAAGCCACTAGAATACTGTGCAGCCCACACGGTGAATTAGGTTGGCAAGGATTGCTGCACATCTTGACAAAAAAAAGGAAACACTCTGGATCATAATTCCCCATATCTGAATTAGTGGTCGGAGGTATCACGCTTATGACAAAAAAAAGCCACAACAGTTTAAAAAAATAGCCAATAGTCAATGCTAGGGTGGTGGGTTTGTTAAATAACATATTATATATTCATATTAAGGGATAGAACCAGATAATGTCACATATATTCATCAGTTTTTTTTTCTTTTTTACTAGGTTTGAAATAAAGTTAATCATATTTAATACAAGAGTTAATTTAAAACTACAAACAATACATTTTGTCGCGTCTAAAATGCTTTATCACAGCACTACATACCATCTACACACACTTTGTACACACGCTACAGTCACACAGTTCTGTAGGGATGTGGACAAATTAACATCTGAGGAAGAACAGACAAGGTATGGGAGGATGTTTGCTATTATTGAGGCAAATAGAAAGTCGGGAGCTGCTGAGGGACACGGATAAGATGCCACAAACAGCCAACACGTCGTTTTGAACCTCTTGTTCTAAGTATGACTTTTGGATTTGAGACAGTTCTTCAGTTTCAGAGATAAAAATGAATGCAATGGTTTTACTTTAATGTCATGGGGATGTTAAGGTGGAGACATTTGCAATAAATGTATCAGTAAGTGCCTATGTGGTACTTACTGATGCCTGAGAGAATAAAGAGTTCACAAATCTGGGATAACACACAATCATTTTAGAGACAGACTGGACACAAATGTGTTCACGTGTGTTGAGATCTCCAGGTCAGCAACAAACTGAAAATGGGCCACACAAACACTTTACAGGGTGCAGTGCACAGGCATAGCAGTTACTTACGTTTATCAACGACATTAGGAGACTTGCATATTTATACTGATGCATTTTTAAATTCAAAGAACCTGATCATACTGTACAGATTTTAAATGGTGACTTGAATACAACTATCAAAGGTATTGTTAAGTTATGATGCAATATAGTTTTGCACCATGAGCTGATCCTTTCCGACAAAGGTTTGGCTAAATAAAATCATAAAGCATTGGCATGTAGAGTAAAACAAATTTAAAAGGCAAATAAAGGTTATGTTAGTTTACTTTTCAAAAAAAAAAGTTGTTAATGAAATCAAATTGAAATGATATCAAACATGTCAAATGTGACATGTTAATGTCAAATGTGACAACTTATGTGATTAAGTTTATATTGTAGTATCTGTCATGCACAATGTCTCTCCACGACTGCATGATCACTGCTCTGCAGATTCAAGCTGATCAACTTCCACGTGGCAAACATCAGGACAAACACACTCAACAGCCCCAATCATTCACGTGATGAATTTTTTAAAGTCTGCAAATAAAAGCAAATCTCTTTAGATGTTCCAACTGATCATAATGCAATGTAGGTGTGATACGTTTAAGTGCTTTCCACAGTGCTATAGCTCTGGAAAATGTCAATGTCTTTGTCATTGACATTTATAACCGTTTTTGTTACGTTTTGAAGGAATCTGGTTAATTTAATTGCTTTGAGAAAAAATAAATTAATGAGAAATAATCAGGTAAACTGTCCAAAAGAAAAATGATAAGACATTTTGGACTTACAGGACTGTTTCAAACAAAGAGGTGAATCCCACACACATGTACACTAACTAATGTTGCACCTTTCAATTTAGTAAGATATTTCAATTCATTCATCTTTTGGGCAGGAGGTGAACACTCCCTGGAGGAGGGGACAGACCTCCGCACCGTCGGGGCTTTGCTGGAGGCTGAACGGGGCGGTCGGGCATTTGCGGCTGGTTGAAAACGGGACATATTTCCCTCTCGTCTGTCCCTCGTCCTCCTGCAGCATCTAACGAGTGAGGGAGGTGTGTGTGGAAACAGAAGACCCCTGCAGGTCCATATCACGCTAAACGGCAGCCCACCTTTCAGAGGTCCAATCGAATGCAAAAAAATGTGATTTAAATCCTTCTTGTACACTCAACGACTATTCCCTTTCAGAAGCTGAAGAAGCTCCAAACTTCCATTTCACTTTAGGTTTGCCCAAAGTGAATTTCTTTTGAGGAGGAAGAAGAACTCAGGGACGGGAATTCATTTTACTGAAATGACCTACGGCTACTTTAAAACTACAATGGAATTCACTTTTATTTTTTACAATAAATTGTAATATGGACCCAATTCAGCTTTATCGTAATATTCATTAATATTGTCAAATGTAACTACCTACAGCATTAAGACTAAACACAAAAGGATACATGACACACAAAATTGCAAACAAAATAGTTCATGCGTTTTACAACTACCAACATATAATTGAAAAAGATCAAATCAAGTTGATAGAATCAAGTCAAAACAGCCCTGAGGGAGTCGGTACAGGGACAGCAACAGAGGGGTCTGCTCTTACCCTGGTGTTTCCCTCCATCGGCAGAATATCGAGGACAGCTGCGGCTCCGTTTTTCCTGCAGGTTATTTGTACTTCCACCACAAACCAGGCAGCCGGGCATCGGATCTCTGATCAAAACCTTCAGCTGCGTTGAGTATCAACTCAACGCTTTCAGGTACTTCCCTTTTATTCCCCCCCGTTTGTACCAGTTATAAAGAAGACTAATGAGGTGGCTCTACAATAACCTGGCCATGTAATTAATTACAGTCATTTTACAACTCATTACATTATTAATGAGAAGCAAAATGTCATAAAAGATTGAAGTCAAGTTCATTATGAACCTTCCATCCATCCGTTGTTTCATCAAAGCGGGAACTCCAACATACGGAGATCATTTCCTGAGCACTCACCTTTGTGAGGCCTCATGAGTCTAATTGAAGAATTTTCCTCTTTCCTTGAAATGTCGCTTAATTTGAGACTGAAAAGGAAAAGTTTATGTTATAATACACGTTAATGACAGAGTCATCTACACCTATTCAGTGCAAGTGAGAATGCTCTAGAGGGCTGAGTGTGAGACTTGTGATTCCTCCAATGTGTAGAATATGGAGCATTTTCCATCATAAAAAAAGGTAAACATTTTTTTTTAAATCCAAATCAATCAAAATAATCATTCTTTAATTTCCCAGTCTGTTTACAGAAGTGCTTTACTTCTATTCCAAAACAGGCTCATGGTTAAAAATGCTTAGTATTTTTTTTATGAAAACGTTATAATATAAAACATCCAATTAATGAAAAACATGGTTTGAAAGAAAAGATTATTTTTAAACATTTAAAAGGTGGACTGTGGGAAATTGGTATGCAATGCTGTCATATCAGGGTGAGTTTAGACGTCCTGTGTTATGTTGAGTCTTTAAAAATATTACCATGAAACGTGAAAAAAAACAAGGTGTAATTTATGCAGTTTCAGAATGCTGAATTTTGAAAGTTTTTAATCATTTTGCATTGTATTCGTGTTCAACGCGCATAGCCAATCATTTCGTGTTGTTAGAATTGCTGCACGTTATGAGTAATTGTTTGGGCGTTATTTCCCCTTCAGATCATTTACAATTACGTAATTTTTTGTCCTCAATTACCAACAGCAAATGGGCCTGAAATACTTTATAAAAGAAGCATAGTGGCCATGTAAACACAAGGGCTGAAATGATTACCTTGTCCACTTCATTCCGAGGGCTGGCAACATTTATTGTTGCATGCATTTTACTTCAATAAGCCTGGTAACCTGTAGAAGCAATGGCTAGTAGTTGCATTGGCAAATATACTGTAAGGTTTGGTTATTTATCGGAGGAAAATCGAAGAATACAATACAATTCCAACCATGGACTCAGGGACGCAAAAATCCTGGTTCAAGATCTTTTTAACATGAGTCGATGTAGGAACTGCGCAGCATTGAGCAAATATAGAATCAGCAGCTCAGTTCAACTATCTGTTCATTAAAAACATTATTACCTGGCACTGCTTAGCCATGTACCTCTTGCGTGCCATTTTTTTTCTTCCTCAGCCACTTTTTCCTCTCGACTACTTCTCTCCTCCTTCAGGGGAGATGGATGACATGAAACTCCATCCTTTATGGGCAAACATACACACTGGCCGTGTCACGTCAGTGTCATTTTACACGCAAAACACCAACAAAACATGCCACACAAACAGAAAGTTTCCCATCGAGGGAACAAATCTGGAGACATCGCAGATTTCTGGAGAGTTGACAGGCACTCATGTTGGGGAAAAAGACAGCAGCATGTTTTGGCAAATACGTGCGTGCCCTGACAACGGGGGGGGTGTGTGTGTGTGCGTGCGTGCGTGTTGAAGCACGTCACACAATGCAATATGAGCAAATGGCGTCACTAGGCCAATCTAAGAAGGTTAACGGCTCTCAATGCTCGATGATCTAGACGGGATAATGTTAAAGGTTGAAGGATAACTGAAGACCAAGGGATTTCCCCTAATTTCCATCACGATAGAAGTTAAATTTGCACAGCCGGAGTGGCCTGGAAGCCTGAGAGAAGCAACTTTTCCAAGAATTGAATCCCCAAATTTCAAAAGTTGAACCGATAAAGATTTAGAAAGATATGTCAAATCGGAGACATAACTACCAATCATTGTGAAAGGAAAAGGGCAGTTATTATTAAAAAAAAAAAAATTGCACAGAAATTGAGAGAAATCATCTCATTTCCCTTAAGTGTCTGGCATTACCTAAAGGTGCTCTGATGAAATCCATTCATATGTATCGGATGAGCAGATGTGGACTTCCAATAAATCCAATTTCTAGTGCTTGATCAAAAGAAATTGTCACTTTGATGTTTTGCTTCCCTGCTTTAATTTGTTGGTATAAAAGTGAATGTATAGAATGTATGTGAATACACATGGGTTCATTTTTGGAAAGTAAAAGACTGAGTACACTGCAAATGTGTTAGGACCCCAAAAATATTGTACTTTATCAAATAAACCAAATTACAGTCCTTTAGACTGCGTGGTACTAAATAAGGGGGACCGTAAAAAAGGTTTGCCAAAGTATTATGGAGCTCTGCTCACTGATGCAGCACAATGATGAAGGAACAACAACAACAACAACTAGAATTGAACTTTTCAGGGTCAAGTTTAAACCCGAAGGCAATGCATTTTTTGTGCAATGTCATGGTTGAGCAGGCAGACATTCAGACTCACATCTTGCTTGGTTTTATTCATTCGAAGAATAAAAACCCATGCAAAGTAATTTCAAGTGCCCATTTGGAATTTCTCAACTTCCAGCGATAGGAAACTGCTATACAAACTTATATCGTTTTACATTGTATTGTTGAGAAAATGTAAGGAACACAGGAGTGACACTTTGATTGTTTGTCCTTAAAAACGCAGAAGGCCCGAGCAGTATTCCTTTTTATTATTTGATACTTTCATGAGACAATACCGTGCTGTACGGAGCAAAGTGTGAACCCAAACTATCAACAAGTCCAACGCGTTGCCTCAAAAAACAGGTTTTTGCAGCTCGGCTGTATAAATTATCTCCTGAGCTTCATCTGCTTTGACAACTTTAACTAGAGCAAATGTATTTTAGTGATCGGTTACGCCGTGACAGTATAGGGTCAGGTTGATTCAGTAGTAAATAACCGGGATATCTGGGCTGTGTTGACATTCATGACTCTGCCAGAGGTTGTGTTGGTTTTTCGTTAATTGTTAGCAGGAGTTGTTTTCTAATACAATCAATGGCAGACACTCAAGCTCCGTGTCCGGTATAAGCAGATCATGGACAAGGAGTCTTGAACAATTGGTGAGGCTCGTTTTTGTCCAGGCAATATCCCCCCTGGCCACAAACGTATGGAAACAAACTCTAAAAAGCTGTTTGCAACATTTTGCGAGAGTTGCAATGGATGCCGTCGGCTTACCTTGTCTCCCACTCGGTCACATCCTCCCAATCAGGCCTTTAAGTCCCACCAGCAGCCAATAGTCACACACTCTCGACCTGTAGACATGTGGGCAACCTTTCTCTTCACAGAGAGGTGTGCAGTCTAGCATGACTGCTAAGCAGGGCGAGATGCAGACAGTCCAGCCGGATCGTTTTATCAAACCATTAAAGTGGTCACGACTTTTATTTACTGCCTATTAAAACAGACACATGAGATTTCGTGTTCGCATCCCATATACACATTTAATTTATTTAAGAAGTCGATTCATTCTATTCCAACCGTTTCATATTTGTGTGTCCCAACCGCCGATAAGTTCAAGGTTGTTTTTGTAATTACAAGGGAAAAACTGAACATCATATATTATAATTATTGAAGACTGCCAGACCCAGACATTCTGTATAATAGAGCTCAATAGTGAAAAAAGAAAGGATCACATTAATACTTCCCTCTACACATACCACAATAATTAAAGGCTTTGGAAATTCCCACTTTATTTGAATACGTTATACTGCACAGTACACGGTAACTGAGTGAAGCTGCAAATATTTTGCAAAGAAAAAAGGAGAAATGTATATATACGCATTGCTGGATGTAATGCTTATGAGCAGAGGAGCTTATCTGAATTATTAGACATATCTCCTTATTTGTTGACTTTGAAACCACCCGTACGCTGGAGACAAAGACCCGACTTACATGTCCACAATCCTTCTAACAAAACAAATATTCATTTAAGATGGAAACATGGACATTTCACTTTTCTTCAACAGTTCAATTCAGTACTCCAAAATACCGATAATAATAAATCAAACCCCTCCTGTTGCGTAACCGCCACGACAGAAGAGGTTTCCTACGTGCAATAAATTGTCTATTTTAAAAGCCCAGAGGTAATCTTAGTCTTTAACACGTGAAGACTCCGCAATGGAGAACGGAGTGTTTATTCTGACAGCAGAGTCTCTCAAAAAGGCACAAACAGAGTTAATCTTTACGCATTCACTATGATGTTATGCTGCAACGTTTCTCTGTTGTTTTAACATTTTCATTTGGTAACATACAAAAGCCAGTTAATTTATATATCTAAAATGTGCTCAAGAATTCAAATGCTTAATTTGACATATCAGGAATAGACTGACGGTTTTGCAAACGCAATCAGACACTTGACCCGGACATGCGCGGCACTTTTTCCAGGTTCCAAAAAAAATGAATAAAAGCGGTGCCTTTTACTGTTGGAAACAACTAGGGCTGAGCGGTACGGCCACAAATTAACATCACGGTATTTTAAGACCGGCCACCTGAACAGCTGTTCAGGGCTTGTTGTTCTCCGCTTGGTGGCCAACTCGCTCGCAACTAGCCAGCGAGTTAGCCTGTTAGCCTATAAGCTTGTTGGCTGTTGTGGATACTAGCGTTGCCACCAGAGGCAAAACCACCGACTCGACCAACTTTACAATTAATAGTTTTCTGATCAAACATGAACTTACCCCCCCCAAACAGCACACAGCTCCTCTAACAAGCCGTGTTGGTCGCTTGTCGTTTCTCCTGCGTCATTTTGTACATGTACAATTATTTGTGTTACACATTGTTTATGTGTCGCAAACTGTTGTGTCGTAGTGTTTTACCCTGTTAAAGGGTGTTTGTTGTGGGTTAATTGTTGTAGTGTTATAAACACAGCTCAATCTTAATACACGTCAAATAAGGAGCTCCGACGGCTGGGCGCTCCGAAGTTAGGTGTTTAAATGAATTATGCTTCCCGTCGAGGAGCAACACCCGTTATTACGCCTGTACACTAGTAAGGCGGTACGTGAAAATGATACAAACATATGATGTAAGGCAGGGGCCTTCAACGTTTTTCAAACTAAGGTCCCCCAAACTGATGGCAAGGTGGAGCAGGGACCCCCTATTCTACGGAGTTTGGTCCGCCATCTTTTATTTTTGAGCTTCACGCTCTTTAGACGTGAGCATAGACGCGATCTGATTGGCTGGTGCCTGCGCTGTCGTATTCGCATGAAAGGAGCAGTGAGTGAACCGGGGCCCAGCTTGAGAGCTGCTGAGGGAAGTTGAGTGTGTGTGTTGTTGACTGACAGATAACGTCTTCTCCATCAATTTATCCGCTCGCTTCAATATGTTGGATTCATGTTAATGTGTATTTAAAGACCATAAATAAAATTCTGAAGACATTTAATTTGTGGGGAAAAAAATTGTTTAAAAAAAATCGTCTCATCAACCAAAAATTTCGCGACCCCCCTGCAGTACCTTCGCGAACGGCCTGTTGAAGACCTCTGATGTAAGGTATACCGCCCAGCCTTAGCAACAACCAACCAACCGCCTGTCGTTAAAATGTGCATTCTGTCACTATCAACCCGGAGTAATGCAGTTGTTCATTTGTAGCAGATCACTTCGCAGCATTAGCATTAGAGAGATGTTGAGGCTACAGTTGACCCTTCGCTGACAGACAGAAGACAATCAAATTAGGGAACAACACTGTTCCTGTAAAGCCAAGTACGTTTTTATTCAAATAAATACCAGCAAAAAAAGCAAAAGCAGCATAAACATTCAGTATACCGTACGTATACCTTCAGCAGCTTGCATGGCATAGTGCTAAGCCTAGTTAATGATGTTGCGCCAGTTTATTACGTAAAGACCTAACGTTTTACAAACGTATAGCTCATTGAAACCTCTGGGTGAAGAACAGCACTATAACTCATGCCTCGGGCACGATGTTCAACCATAATCAGCTTGAAATCTGCAAAACCAGCCATTGATCTAAAATGATTTCATGGACGGTGATCACAAGTGTCATTCTCATTGGTCCGACAGCCCTTTATGTCACTTTAACTTGTTAATTTGATAATTTTGTTATCAGATAAAATAATATTACTGATGCCTCTGCTATGTAGAGGTTCCTTAGATCGGCTGAGCACTATATATATATTTACAGTATAACATGGATAACAGCAATTTAACTAAAATGGGCATCACAAGCCCGAGCATGAAATTTGAATATTCACCTGCAGACTATTAAATCAAGGTATTTCCCCTGGCCAATGGTAGAAATCTTTCTGAAGCAGTCGGCCTTTGAAAGGTGCCATGTGTGACCCCTGATTGCGTATTGTATTTTTCCGTGAATGGGATTGTCTTATTATCAACGGTGATGTGTGGCACTATCTCACTATTTACTTGACTAAACGCTATCTCTTTGGTAATTCTGAACCTAAATCTGCAGTAAGTTAATTTTTGAAGAGAAGACGATATGGTGGTTCAGATAAGCTCCACTACTCGCGTGTGACAAAAAGTTATTTTCCTTATTGCCTCCACAACAACTGTGAAGTAAGCCTCCAACACAAAGGGCATGAAACCAATCAAATGTAAGTGCTTGTAACATCAAAAAGAAGGCGTTTAAAGACTGTATTAGCATTACCTGAACGTGAGCAGTGACAGCTCCTTCTGCAGGCACACTTTCCAGCGCTCCATTTACAGATGCCTGCATACCGAGTTCCATGCCATTATTCCACTCTGAGCACAATGGAAAGGACAATGACATGGTTAGGAAAAGCCTGCAGAAGGTGAATCTTGACCAAGCTGAATGAATACGTAAGCATTTACCTGGATTTAGTGTCTCTGCGTCCAGCATTCCCCCTTCCCGATAGACATCCAACTCCTCTACTTTGACCTTGCTCCATGGAATGTAGGTAACGCCCCGCTCCACATCCCAGAACTTTTTGTGTGTTGATTTTATACCTTTGTTCAAAGCCCAAGCAATCTATGGAAAACAAGTTTAAATGAATGATCTAGTGAACATTCAGTAAATGACAGTTACACACAACTGCAACTACAACCAAGCAATGTGTTAATTACCTTAACGGGTTTCTGATTGACTTTGTAAGACCCTTTACTCAGTTTGTTCAAAGCTGTGTAGGCATCTTGCCTGTGAATCATAACAATATAGGCACAACCCCTCGGAGGAATCATCTGGGCATAGAGAAGGAAAAAGTTAACAGTGCAAGTATGATAACATTTTCTAAAAGATCACGGAGGATTTTGTAGTAAGTATTTTTGAGAGGAATGGTCTCAACTTACATTGATGGAATCAATCTGTCCGAACTCTTCCAGAAGGGACATCACGTCGGACTGCTGCGTTTTCTTGTCTAGTTGTCCAACCCAGAGTGTGGTGCTGCACACTAAAAGCAAAAGGAGATTAGTATCCGCTTGGAACAAACGACTCTAGTTGGGTTTGTCTGCACTACCTGTTTAATGTGGATGTGCATTATTATTATTTTACTGCTGATAGTTGGCTTGGAATGTACAGCAATTTAAGATTCCCTACGCAACGTGAGGGGATTAAATGTTTGGGGAAAAAAAGATTAATCAAACTACGGTTAAAAAACGACGCCCGACAATCATAAAAGCGATCTGTTTTTTTAAATGAACTTCTTTATGTTGAGTAAACATATATGGTAAAAAATAAGGAAGTTATTCCCGTTTCTGTAGTACGCAGGTCAGGTGAAATTAATGTTTTATGTGGGGAGTCAACAGCGGTTCGCTGCCATGTCTGAGCCTTTGTGTTCTCTAAACGATTTCAATTTTCATTATTACTATTTTAATGCTTTCAGGAAATCTATGTTGTTTGTGGCGTAAAGGTATGGAAATGAGTTGAATTAATACACCTTTAAAATGTAAACATGGCGAAAACAGATATATAACGTGGTTATACTTTATCAAAAATGGTATCATAAATGTCGATCACATTTATAGCTACAGGCAAAGACACCCATTCATATTGTATCCGGACTTTAATGGTGCTGTTGCCTCTGCAATTCAATTTATGTAATTAAATAGATTATAGAATTATAGATCAGTTGTTCGATACTTTTTACTGTATTGCATCTACATTTACTCTGAAAGGTTTATTTTATTTTTACCTTTTCAAAACGAGACCAGTTTTATACTACGCATACAAGCCTTACGGAATGCTTTTTTGTGGATGATGTGTCCTGTAAGTTAACATTATTGGGCTGTTCACATATTGTGTTAAAAACGTGCAGAGTCCAGCTGCTTTCTTCCTTTTGTCCAAGGTGCTTGAGGTTGCCATCGCGCTTTCTGAGCAACCAAAACTCTAACGCACAATAAGTGGTGAAAGCGTCGACCGAATTCAAATGAGTTCCCCTCATAGACCGCTAAATATATTGTTAACAACTCAGTGTCTGATGTCAACATTGAGAACAACAACATCAAGTCCATCAATTACAGAACACACAAAAATACACACACAACAGGTAACTTTGACTAGCACGTATCTGTATAGACTTAACTATAAAGTGATTACTAATACAATCAAAATAATCAGCGACCAGTGATACTATTATTTCTGTGTTGATTCTCTCTCTGCAGACAACAATTACCATCATCACATGAGTAAACAACGTGGCCCCTTTCTATGGGGATATATAGACATTCGTGCATTGACTTAAGTAGTAGGAATTGTAGTTTTGCTGCAGGGTTCATCTAAGACATTAACAGGTTTGTTTCTCTTGTACTTGAACTTACCACTGAGTGTCTGGCTCTTCATGCTGGGGAGACCTTTCTGTCTGCGTTCTCTGTCTTTCTCTCTTTCATTCGTGTCCTGAGAACCAGAACGAGATCTCCAGCGCTGTTCTCTAGAGCGAGAGTCAGAGCGCCGATGCCTCGACCTTCTTGAGCGGGAAGAAGACCTCGATCTTCTTCTCCGGGGAGATCTGAAAGACACAATTTTGAAACACGCTTGTTACACCAACAGAACCTGGACCGAGCTCCACTCTAGTGCAATACAGTCACTGCTGGTTCCAAAAAAACAGATGCAAACAGCTGGAGGCCCCGCAGTTCGAGCTAGTTTGTACACTGTGGCTCCACTCCATTATAATCACAATCATGCTCTATTTCCGAAGATTATCAAATGATTATCCAACTTAAAATGAAATGTGGATACAGAAATACAAGTACAACCTGAGCCCTGATAAAATCCACAACACTACAGTTATCAGTCATAAGCTGCCACCCCCCTTACCTTGAACCAGATCTGGATCTTGATCTCCTGCCATAGCCTCTGTGTCTGCCCTCCCGCCTCATGGTTGAGTCTTCTCTTGAATTTCCCTATTTGACAATGACGACATGCCAGATTTTAATAAGCAGAGGATAAGATAAATTGACAAGTTTAATAGAGAAACCTCCCAGCCACTTGAGGGAACTGTATTAATGAGAAAACTATCATATGGGAAAATGTTGACATGCAAATGCAGCAAAACTTGAGCTTCGGCTGAACGTCTTTCTCTCACGGAAGAGACATTTAATCAGGTTACGGTGACCGATTTACCTGTAATTGTGAATAAGCCTCATTCATGGAACCGTATCCATCGGTCATCATATGATGTTCACCATAACTCATTCCTCCAGCGTGCTGAGGGACGACCAAATGACACCGTGAGGGAATAGTAACACCACAGGGGCAATGACCACAGGATTGTTTTACTGAATCGCCACACATTTGATCCTCATAATCAAAACAACATTTGTAAACATTCATAATCTTAACTTTGCTGGCCAGCTAGAAAACATCAACAGAGCAACAACGTTTGCTTCGACCGGTTTGTGTACACCATGCTGCTATTGTACCACAGTGTATTCAGATCTAGTTGAGTAATTATATAATGCAGTTATTATTAAATACCTCGATGCCACCGCTCTGCCCCATCATATGTGGATGAACATTCTCCATGTTGGGCATGCGACCAGGACACTGGTTAAACACGTTTTCAGGAATGCCGCTGTCGTGACAAAATATACACATTAAGATGGAGTATGACAAACCTTTAAAGACAAAACAATACATTACACTGCAACTACCACTTTGCGATGGTATGTATTTTCAGTTTACATCATCAGTGGAGTGAAATTGTCATTAATGGCATATGAATTCCTGATCTATGGCCAACAATAGTTTTGTGAGGAAAAAATGACCTTCCAGAGGCAAAATCGAATCCTTCCATACGTGAGTACAAGCGGACATTTGTGCCATTTTTGAGGAAATGAATCAGTCATTCCTGACATTGTGTTGACAAGAATACAGCAGATGTTAGGTGACTACGGTGACCGTCGACCGCCAAAACATGATCAGTTCATTCTTCCAATTCTTGTCAAATTAGTTCATGCATCAGAATGGACCGTGCACAGCAGATTTTTCATAGCAGAAAAAAAATAAAAATAAAAAACACTTTTCCAATTTATTTACAGTAGGGGGGGGCGGGGGGGTGCCCACCAAGCAGCACCGCCATCTCCCTGGCTAGGTTTTTTTTTTACATTTACACTGCTCCATTGATCTCAGCGCACGGCAAAGTACCTCTCTGACAGGCGCGCACACACGTTTCAAAACTAGTCACAATTACACATTGCTCCCTGGGAACGTGCTAAAGAAATACTCACTATGCAGAGAAGTTGGAAGGAGTTAAATATCTTTAATTATAATACGGGTCAATGAAATCCAGCGTTCTGATTGGTTGAGAGTGAGTCAGCAATAATGTCGCAAACGGACAATTAAGGCGGACGTCATCAGCGATGTGAATGAATGAAATGGTCCGAGATCTTGTAAGGAGACCCAATGCGGTCTACGTGCACGTACGGGGACTATTTTTCTCTAGACTACTGAAATGCAATACACAACGTTTGGTGGCTAATAATATTTTGTACTGAAAGGCAGCAATTTACTTATTACAATTTATAATTTCACGGCTAACCCTATTATAAAAGCAATAAAAAAGGTACGAGAGGTTGCCTGCGCATCAGGCCTAATACCCCCAAACTGTTACATTATTGCACAATAAAGTACACCCTCGTGTACCTTATTGCTTAAACATGGACTGCATTGGTAGACAAGGGATATTTTTTTGTTTTGAGCACTTGTTCTGGTTATCGTTCATGGCCTAAGTAGTATTGACCAATCAGGATTGAGGTACATAGTTTGTAGTACATAGATGTGGAGCGCATTGGCAGAAGTGAAATCTCAGAACCTGACGGCTATTGTTTGGTGACGATTCATCTATATTTCTAGGTTTAAATTGGCCTGTAATCTGGCTACTAGTGAAACAATCCAGTCGGGTATCTCGACCCGATCTCACGCCTTGAATCGTACATATGCTAATCAGACAGTAAACAAGAAGCAGCACACTGAAAAACAACCAGGACCAGGAGATCTCCTAGATACACTGGGACCCACAGGTTTGTCTTTTGTTAGACCGCTAGCCTATATGTATCATATAGTATCCAACGGCAGATATTTTTGCCTTTAAATTAAAAAGACGAGGGAATTCATACTTAATAATTGCAGTGATTGCAAACAAGGCGCTTTCTTTTTTTTAATGCAGTGCCATGTGATATATAAAACACGCTTCAAAATATCAATCTAAAAATGTATGCTATGATGTTGCACCAGCACTTTTACATAAACACAATAAATGCATCTGTTCAAACTCACTGTGACTGGGCACTGCCTTCTTTAGTGGTCATTTCCTCGGGTTCATCATCGTAGTCAAATCGGTCCAGGAGTTTCTAAAGGAAATATACATTTAACAATTAGGTAAACGAAAAAGGTCATTCGTAAGGGATAACAGCAGGTTGTGTTGCGACACCGAGCTGTGCCGTTACCTCGGCTAAAGAGCTTCTCTTCTCTGTGTGAGCACTGTAAGGGTTCAGCTGGGACACAAGCTTCTGCGGTTGGTTTGGTATGTTGTTTGCTAGTGAGGCTGCCAATGTCTTATCCGCTTGTTGGAAGTTCTGGAGCATCCTATGCAGCTGGAGGAGAGGAGAGGCCATTCATTTTCATTCACTTTTATCATTAACTTATCTTTACCTGCCATGACGGCTAACAGATAGAGGACTTGCACCAATGCATTATTTACCTCCTGTCCGTGGGGAGATTGAAAGAGCTGTGCCACAGCAGCTAAGGCATCAGGAGTGGGCAGCTGGGGCACAGCTGGGGCACCAGTGACGGGAAGCTGTGCCTCTTGTTGGGGGTCAGCAGGAGCTGTTGAGATACAAGGAATAGATTGGCTTCTTTGCATGAAGGTCGGCAAATTACAACCGTTGTTTTTCAGAAAGTAACGCTTGATTATACTGTTACAAACATTGGCCAGCACTATTCATAATTACGTGTTTACCTTCCAGTTCAGGGGAAGGTGTGATGGTTCCATTGGACATATCCATGAGAGGCTGAATGATGCTCATCTCAAACACACCATTCTTCTGCCACAGGTTCAGGACACGGATTATTTTGCTCTGAAAGGAAAGAAGAAGAAAGAAAATTTCACCTTTGCAAAATGTCTTATTATAGAAAATACCAAGAGGATTAACATTCAAAATAAAGTACCTTATCATCTTCGGGGCATCGGTAAAGGTTTTGGAAAGTATCTGTGAAGTTCTTCAAGAATCTGGGCCCAAATACGTCTTTGTCAACTCCAAACTGATGGCGTGACTGTCGAACAATCGAATCCACCACATACAAACCAGGGACTTTCAATTCTGGCTTGCACTAAAAAATAAAAATAATTCATTAATTAATATATGAAACCATTTAGCACCATCACATGACAACTTGCATTTGTACAATGGTTTTTAAACTCCTGAGGCTCAGTAGTACATACCTTCTTGATGAACTTTTCAACAATTTGGACAACATGTTTGTAAAGCTAAGGGGAAAAAAAACAACAACATCAGTCACATAATATTGAAATCATAAAAATACAACCATAGTAGGGAACAGCTTCCATTTAACAGATTTTTTTTGCCGTTTCCTGCTGCAGTTAGAACAAGTAGAAAGAACTGAGATTTTTCATAATATGAAATGGCCTTTTTAAAATGGCACAGATTGTACCAGTGCGAAGTTGCTGAAGGAGCACTGCCAAGTTGTTGCTTATGCACTGACTACCGAGTATGTGGCTAATGGAGTAAAACATTTGGTGGCCGTATCTCAATTGATTAAAACGTTAAAAGTGTTCCCTGGAGGAACGCCTATCATCTACAGAGAAAGTGTTTCAGATTTATATTGTTAAAAAGTGAAATAATACATTTTCATTTTGAAAACAACCAAATGCACAAGGTTATGAGATCATCGTCAACGGCCAATCTTTGTAATGGCAATAAAACTGATTTATTGTTAACGTTACCTTGATAGCTTTGATGGCTGACTTTGTTACGGACATCATCTTAGCACGGGAGATTGGAGGCTTCATGTCGATCATGGAGAACAACTGATTGTTTGCAAAAAAAGAATTACATTAGTTACATTAAAAAGGAAAAAACAACAGTTTGACATGTTATTGCTAGTGAAATAGCAATTTCCCACTAACGAACCCAAGGAAATTCATTAACGGCACAAATAATCTAAATAAGTGGCTTAACACAGATTTTTTCACTGCAACATGAGTTGTTTTCCTGAAGCGTGAGCATTATTTTTCACAAACCCCTGTACACACACTACCTGACATGGGCAAATACAGATTGGACCTAATCCCACGCGACATGAACATCTGCAACCCCTTTTGTGCAGACAGAATAACGTGAGTACTTCAGTTATTTTACTTTACTTATTAACAATTCTAATCCTATTCGAGCGTCTAACGCGGGCTGGAGTGAGTTTGTCTGGGCGTCACTCAGTGCATTTATTTTGGTTTGATGTGGGAATGAATGCTCATCGGTGTCGTTTTGAGGTAATCTGTGCATTATGTAACACACACATTCTAAAAACACAGCAAGACACAACTTGACTGCGGACTCCTCTGGTGGCCTCGATGCAACAACACGTTACTGTCGTGAACTTAACGACTGTTCGGCATCGGACTTCCTCAAAACAAGATGACATCCACGCGTTTTACCACGATTAGCATGAAGTATAATACTTCATCATATAGAGGAGCGGGATGTGAAGCAAACGGCACGGAGGCTGTTGTTATCTCCAACGTTACCAATGAAGATGCATAGCGGTCGAAGAGGTGCAAAACAGCAGTCGAAATAGCTGGAAACTGTAATCTCGGGCCTTGCAACAGTAACGTACAAGCGCTGATCTCGGTTTAAGCGAGTGGCTAACGAACCCAAACAAGTCATGTTTGCGTTTCGATCGACCGCGTTCACGTGAGCCAGTGGGCCACCCGCAATGAATCCATTGGACTGGTCAAGTTGTATTAATTTACAATTCGTTTCGCAAATAAACAAACAATTCAAAGCTAACGCGACATTAGTTAACGGTCACGTTAGCCTTCAGGTTTAGCGTTAGCTCTTCGGACCAGGTTATTCTCAATCAAACTTTACCTCCATGTTGAACGCGTTCACTGCATCCATAACGGTTTGTTGTATTTAACACCAGTTGGCGAAGAGTTATCTTTCGTTACTCGACTAAATCATAGCATCGTTTAGTTACACAGCGGTCTGTAACATGATCGGCGACGCTGAAAGTCTCTGTTTTGACTGTAATGTGCAGCAGTCACATAGCTCAGCTATGCTAGGAATGGCTACTGGCTTCGAGGTTCCGCCCCAGCGTACGCGTGTCAGCGTCTGACGTCACAAGGTGATGCTGCCTTCACGATTATTGGAAAATGGTCAATTTTTTTCAATAGCGTGGTGCATTTGTTTTACGGATCACATTTCCGACAGTAAAATAAAGAAGATGAACATTTTGCCACCATAAACCCCACGTTAAATCATCATTTTTTATATTGAAAGTTACGACATAACTAGAAATTAGCCCCAACAACCTAAAAAAAAGCTGATCTGCCAATCGGTCTGTGTGTCTTGCTCCTTGGACCCGTTGCCCGCCTGCCCTGCGCATTACATACAAATACATGATTTCCAACACACAACTTTCTCAAATATACATATATCGTCCCAGATTAACTGGGACGCACGGACGCCCTCTAGTGTAACTGCGGTCATGTGGACCGCATTTCGAAATGGAATGTGCCTCTATTTGAGGTGTTACGGTAAAAGGACTTACAGCCAAGGCACTAATCGCCTATATGTAAAGTGTCATATCCCAATCTTTGAACTGTCTTTAAAACAGATCCAAAAACGGTAACACTCTGCTGTCACTTGATCCTAGTTCATGTTGACTTCCTCTATGCTCATGTACATTTCCATGAAATATTACTGTATAGTTTTTGAGAAAAGATGAAAATCCGTTAAAATGGCATGATATTTGTCTTTTCTCAATCTTTGAACTGTCTTTAAACCAGATCCAAAATGGGTACGACTCCTATATAAATATAACCAACTAATATTCATTCATTCCAATAATGTAACATGGAATACCTCAAAAGACCCACGTACTAACTGAAAATAGTGCACTACCACGGTTCTACCATGCGCCCTTGTGGTCAAACCTGCTCACTGCACGTATCTACTGGAGTATAAGTGGGTTGGGAGGAGTAAAACAACTGGAGTTCAGCAGACAAACATGGGCGAGGGAGCTTTTATTAGATCTGCTCAAAGATGCAACCCCAACGATCTATAGATGTTAGAAACAACTGCGGGGTAGTTGTTCGTTTTTCGGTACTTCACAACTGAGATGATATCATGGCAATAATGGAAAACTTGACCAACTCCGTTTCCAATGAATGGGAATACTATTATGATTACCTTGATCCTGTGATCGTGGACGAGAGCAAGCTGAAATACAACAAATGTAAGTCCGTATGCACTATAACATATTTGTATTTGCCATCTTGTGTTAATGAAGGTAACAGAAGTTTTCTTCTCCCCTTGCAGACTCAATTGTTATCATATTTTGGATCATGCTGGCTGCCTTTGTGGCATTCCTCTTTCTCAGTTTGAATCTAATGTCTCATAGTGGAATGCCAAGGTGAGTGTGATGCACTTATGATCCTTCAACTTCACTACTTTAAAGGGAGGTAGAGGGAAGTGCTTACTAACACCAGTACTGAATACACCCACGTGTTTACAGCCTGGAGACAGAGATATACTGTAGTTATCCATCAAGCTTCAAGGCTCGACTTATGCTTAAAAATATTTTTGTTATTGTTGCAGAATTCAAAGATTCAGAAGAAGCCACAGCACAGCAACTGCTTGACACAGGATCAAATCTGAATGAGAGCACTTCTGATGAACGTGAACAGAAATGTCAAATACCCAGGGAATAAAAACATTTGAGAACAGAGAAAGTAAGAAAGAGAAGCCAATCATTCAACTTTCTTTCCATATCACTGAATATCTAAGTGCATAGCTACTTTTGCCGTTACACAGATTATGTAACTATTTGTTTGTGCTTGAACCTGCAGTTTGGCTACATGTGAGATCTGCCTAGTCATTAAAAGAGTATATTATTGTCCATCATGAAGGCAGCTTTACTGCATTGAATAAAATGTATTGCATGTATTACCAAATAGTAAGGTCATAAAAGAATATAAGAAATAATCACATTAAACAGATCTGTAAATCAACATTTTTATAACAGGATTTTACGAAATACCATCATCTTTTTACAATCACCAAACAAAAAAGCAAAATAAATGAAAACAAGCTTTCTTTGAATTAAGTTTGTTAGGCGAACGGTCATATTCTCTTAATATTTAACGTTTCATGGTCATGATATCATGACAGAGGGCTGTGACGGCTGCTGGAGTCTGGGGTGATTTGGACGCGTTCCGTTTCTTACTCTTGGCTCTGGTCACCAAGCTGACGTGAGACAGGAACAGCTCCGCTGACGCGGCTCCACTCCACAGCTCATGGATGTACGATGAAAAGAGAAACAGCCCTGCTTCTGGAAAGTGTGGAACAAGAGGCTCAATTCAGTCACATTACAACGTATTTATAGTTTATCATCTTCCAAAATAAACAGGCATCTACACACATTTTCGTGCTTTAAAATATTTTAGTTGGTATGCACTTTAGTGGTCAAGGTCAGCTAAACATACTGGCCGTGACCACTTTCACTGCTGAACTTGACAAGGATAATGTTATTTTAATCATAAAAACAAAAATCAGGATCTCCATCACAATGATAAATAGGCACGGGACAAATAGGCCACATTTAATTAATTTCACAAATTATACAACATATGCTACTTGATGGCATTCCCTTCCAATGCATTCTTTGGCGGTCAAAATTTGGGCGCCGCAGCCCTAGAAGTGTTTTACTTTGTTTGATGTTTGACATTGTATTTGAACAGTATTGATACGGTAACGTGTGATATGCACACTAGCAGCCATGGAAAGAGTGTGTGTGTGTTTCTTACCACGTCTAGACGGATCAGGTGTGTCTTCCGGCAGACAGGCAGAGACGACCGTCTGATGCTGCTCTGGAAGCTCGCCTTGGGCCTCTAGCAAACGTATCATAATGGTGGTAAACAGCTGAAGGGTTTCAGCTCTCGCTGAAAGGCTGAAGGAACACTGAGCCTCAAAGGCCTGATTGTAAAGTCGAAGGAAGTCCGCTTTCATATCAGAATCGAGAAGCACAGCAGTCACCATTTCGCTGTGCTCCATCACAGCTTTTTGGACCCAGTGCAAGAACTCATTTGTTCTTTTTCCATCATACGAGCCCTCCACCAAGCACCTCAGACACCACTTGGTGAGCAGGTGTGCTGTATCACCAGCCAGCTGACTGGGATCCAGTTTGTCCCTCGTTTCGTCCGGCTGAGCTTCAGAGAGGGGAAACACAGGCTCCCAGTGAACAAGGATACTGCCGAGGTAACGTTTACACTCTGTCAGGAGACTCTCTTCTTGTTTCTCAGTGTCAGCATCGTCTGCCAGGATCTCTTTTCGTGTGTGGAACTGGGAAAAGGAGCCTCTGGCTTTATCCTTCCGAATCTCTGAGGAGCAAAAGAAGAACAGAACCATGTTTATTCCATTAAAGATACATAAGATTGACTTAAACACTGAGAAGCAGAACAAACATTTGAATAATGAAATGTCTTCCCACATGTGACAAGTTTCTGCTTCTAAAGCCTTAAATTTTATTTTCCTCGCAGAGAAGAAAATGCAAGGTCAGCAAAAGAGCTTTGAGTAGTTACTGACCTAAACTTTAAACTATAACATAGGTCTGGCTTCATCATAGATCATGAAAACCGTATATCAAATATTCAGCGTAGGCTGTGGGAATTAAAGTCAGCCCTATTGGCAATCTTTAAATCCCTCATGGGATCCGCAGCAAATAATTTAACAGAATGGAATTAATTGCAAAAGCATTCTGATATATTGGAAAAAATACTACAATATTTAGTTGGCAGTATTGTGAATGTAAAGCTACGCGAGATCCCTGTATGATAAATAGTATACACAATGTTACATGTGATGAACATTAATAGAGAAGTAATTAAACCTCAATTTTAAGCATTGAAAATTGGGTGATTTTAAGGTTCACGAAAATGACTGTGGAAGAATGTCAAAACCTATAATCATATATGACAGATGTATACGTTGTGCAGATATACATTTAGCCTCCATATTATCTAGGGTTGCTTTGAAAACTAATAAAAAGGCTTATTACTGCATGACTACGACATCCAATCTGTGTTCACAGTATTTTATCCACCCCATGGAAAGAAAGGCAACCATCACATAATTTTCTAAACGTACTCACCCAGCAATTCCCGCACTTTGTGTTTTTCAGACAGGGCCTGTATTTGGGCGAGCAGGGCCGTGTTGCGGGACAAGGACGCCCAACAGCGCAGCAAAGTGAGGGCTTCGGTGCATGAGAGAGGCTGTGGGTGGAGCGTTAGCCATTGTGCCCGTTTGTTTGCATTGACAGCTGTCTCACAATGCTTCAGTACGGAGCAAAGCGTCTGCAGGAACAAGTTGAGCTGAGCAGCCTTCATACGCAACCTGACAGGAGATCAAACAAACACTGACGTTCTACCCCCAACAAACAGATCTGTCAAGCAATTTATACGTGTCATTAAGATCTCAGGTCAAGTGCCTGCAGAGCAACTTGAAAATGATGTGGAATTACAATTTATCTGTGACCGTTATGGTGCTCTTACCTGAGGTGACTGCTGATGGTTGATGCCACACACAGGAATTCACAGATGAGTGGTAGAGGAAGACACTTCACTGAGCTCTGAGGTTTCTCCCCTGTGGATGAGGAGGCCTCGGCTTCATCCACCGGCTTCTCCTTCTCCTTCTCCCCCAGGTTGGTAAACCACAGCACATGGAGCAGATTTATGATGGCACTTAGCAGCTGCTGGTCAAGATTCCTAAAGAGTATAATAAGCAAAGACTTATAGTTGGAAACATTGAAATGCTTGGGGTGTTATTGTAGTATCATGAATGACCACATCAAAAATAAAGAGCCAAAATTGAGATTGGACCGTACCTTTTTTCTACCATCTGTACTATCCAGGTTAGAAGCCCACAGCTCTTGGTGAGGTTATAAGCTGCTCGGGTCACCCGGGCAGCCTGGCATAACACCCTGATAATCTGTGCCTAGTGGGGAGAGATGTGTGAAATACACGCACATCAAAAGATCTCTTTTCATGAGCTTTCCCTATGAAGTGCATCTCTGAGCTGTGCATCAACTTCACATCCAACGGGTTGCATCATTGCGATTCCCAGTGCGTACCTGGCAGCGTTCGTCACACAGGGGGCTGCTGCCGAAACCTAAAAGGGTCTGAAAGATGCCCTGTTGTTCACACAATTCATAGCAGAGTGAGTCACTTATCCCTTCCTCCAGCACACTCAAGATCCACTCCCGTTCCATTTTATGCTGCAGGAAGAAAAACAAAAACTATGAGTTGCACTCCAATGGCTGACAGCCCTGAACAGATAACGCCGGCCTAGAAAAAGCAAGAGCAGAGCAAAACAAACAGATGAAGGTGAATTGTTGTTGACATAAGAACTGTTTATTTACACTGTTCATTTATAGAATATACTAAAAGGTGCTAAACGGTACCTCTAAGTCAAAGCCATAGAATAGCTTGAAGAACTCAGGGACTCTTTTGAAGTCCAAACTCTGATGAGACAGCAGAAACCGGTTCAAAACCATGTACATGTGGTCCTCTGGGAAATGGAAAAACAAAACAATGAAAAGGGTTAGGATCCTGATCTTTAATGATGTACTTTGTATAGAAATTCAACAAATTCTAGAAGATGAAATTTAAAAAGGTGGCATTTTAGAAACGCAGAGTTCCTTTTTGGTCCAGTAAAGGTCTTAAGCAAATAATATTTGTGTAAACACTGAGTTAAATCAGTCGGTGGGGATCTGAGCTACGCACCAGGTTTGAGCATCTGCTGAGCCGCTTTGGTGATGTAGGTGGTCAGGAGAAATGGAAGTCTTTGATTCTGCTGCCGAATTCCATTCCTCGCTATGTCCATCAAGTACAGCAACTGTTCGAAAAAAATCAGTGATTCTAGAAGGCCGCCTATGCACATAAAACAGCACATTACTCACACTTTACCTGTCTCTTCTCTCTGAACCGAGCACCCTCCAAGTGTTGGTAGAAGCAGCTCAGCACGTGGTACGCCGCTGCTCTCATCTTTGAGTCATAGCTACTTAGAGCCATCACGGTAACACCAAAGGCATGACTGGATACGAACTTCAGGCAGTCAATCACACACTCTGACACACAGAAGAAGGGGAGAACGTAACATTTATGAAGCAGTAATACCATGAACTGATTCTCAGTGACGACGCCTCAGTTCAACTCACTCACCTGGCTGCAGAATGCTGCTGAACAAAGGCAAAAGAAAACGTGGATCATACAAATTCTCAAGGTCCTTCATTGCGTTGTTACAGTACAGCCGCTCTTTATTATCCTATAAGAGAGAGGGAGTTAGATACTCAAGGTCTGTCCAACAAATACTGTACATTTGCCAACTTTTTTTTTTGATACATCCATCTCTTTGCGATTTGAGTCATGAGATCACAAAGGATGTAGATGATAAATAATTAAGAAAAGACATCAGACCTGCCGGATGATTCTGCGTTGCTGGGGAAAGTGTGCAATCGTTTGGAGCATCTTGTCACTTTTCAGCAGAGCCAACACGTCGTCTGAGCTCGTTTGCTTCCACAAAGAAGCTCCAAGACTTTTCCTGGTCTTGTGGTGCTCCACAGCTGCTGGGCCCCACAAGAACGACCTGTAGTTGAAAACAAACAATCAGCATTTGCGAATAACAAGTGCATGCGTTGCCTCCGCAGACTCCAAATATCTATGCAACTTACTGGAATTTCAGCAGACTGACATCGTTTCTTTCATATTCCTGAAGAAGCATCAATATTTTCTGATCTGCAAAGAAAAGAAAGATGTAAGAGAAAGGAAAGACGGGCAACAGACACACAAACACAGCCACCTTTAGATTTCTTGTTTCACCTGAAGTACTCAGCGTAACTCCATAGGCTCCCAAAAGAACAACGAAGTGGTTCATGTTACAGACGGTTGGGCTTTGCTTCACCAAACGGAGAAGTAGGGAAACAAGGGCTTCTGAAATGAAAACAAAAAAAAAAGTGTATCTGTGTTTAATAATGAAACAATTGAGGGATAAGTAATTTACTATTCTTCTCCAATTTATACTCCTACACGTGTACCTTTAGCCTGGCGCACACTAGAATCTTCAGCGCAGTCCAACATAGTGGGCAGGAACAGAGAATGGCTGCTGGTCATCATGTGAAGGGTGGATAAGGGAATGAGATCCTTGTGGACCTCGCTGCTGCTGTACATTACTTCCAACAGGTTGCTCAATGTGTTCAGAAAGTGAGGATCTCTGTAGCGATATCTACAATGGGAAAATATCTTTTGGGTCATTGATTCAAAAAATATCATCTCTTGAACAAACATCTAGCAAAAATATGTCTCACTTTAGTCCGTTCTTGACAAAGCTGTTCCATTCAGATGCAGTGATGTCTTCGGGGGATGTCTGTGCAATGAGGATTATGAAATGCATTATATAACATTACTTTACGTTGCTTGCGGTATGTGTGAGGAAGATAAACCCACCAGGAGTCCCTGCAGTCTCTCCAGGAGGCTGCGCTCTTGCTCTGACCACAAAGTGTCCTCATCTTTAGAGCGACTGAAGGTGGCGATGAGACACTTTAGGGCAGCAGTGGTCACAGACTTCCTCCAGGTGTCTTGTTCTTCGGGGCAATCGGACAGTTTCTCAGTGATCACATCTACTAGCTGCCATCTGAGAGAGAAATCGACATTCAGCGAATACCTTGTGACGCTGATTATGTAAACAAAAGTATAAAGAGTTAAATACTACCTTTCAAAACTGTCCACTTTTTGAAGCGCACTGGGCAGAGAGCTGATCAAGTCCCCGGTGTCCTTGATGCTTTCAGAGAGCTCGATCAGATTGGTCAGTGTTACAGCAAGCTGGGCTCCAGAATCTTCCGTCAGATTTCCCAGAACACATCGGGACAAATTGGCAAGCAGCGCTTGCTTCAAGGCCTTTACGACTTTCTTTTGCACTACAAAACACAGCAATTGAGCACATATAAATAAATGTCACAGAGTGACATACATCCTGTGGCTGTACGCTCCAAGGCAAAAGAGAAGACATATTAGTACAAACCATCTTTCGGCCTGGCGGGGTCCTCTCTACGTGCCACCTGCAGGTAGGTGTTGATTAGTGGAAGGAATGTTTCCGTCTGATTCGAGAGCTTCTCCGTGTTTGTGGGCTCTAAGCACCACATCTCAAAGCACAGGCGGTGTGTGGAGCAGTTCTGCAGCAGAAGAGAGCTGATGGCCTGAGTGCCTGGGCGAGGCCACTGGAGGCAGTGCAGCAGCACATCGGTGTGGATGAGCTTAGCGCGGTAAGGCTCACCAGACAGAGTGTGCAGCAGGAAGGCCTCCAGAGCAGAGCTGGAGCAGGAAAGTAGCAGGGTGCTAAGGCCGTGCAGGTGTGCTTGAGACAGACAGATGCCGTGCTCCTGGGAAGGGTTGGCTTTGGACTCGGTGAGGATCTGCAGCGCTGCGTCACCGTAAACGCTGAGCTCGGCTCTGGGGGAGATCAGGCTATCCTGGGGCAGAAGCAGCAGCTTGGACACCACCTCTCTGAGATTGCAGGGGTCCATGTAGCGGTGCAAAGACAGCAGGGCCTGGAAAGGTCGGGAATGTTTATTTGGCGCTGGGGAGCCAGACTCTACCAGTTCCTCCAGTTCCTTGAGCACAGCCTTTTCTATGGCCCCCACGTAGCTACTAATGAGCCCCAGGCCACCGAGATCGGAGAGAGCGGGGGTGCTGCTCTTCAGCAACGCCAGAATGCCATCGCTCAGCTGAGCACACAGACGCTTTAGCCTGACGGGGTTCAGAGTGTGAGGAGGCAGGGCAGCCAGCTCCAGAGCAAGAAACCACTGCTCAAAACACGGATGCTTGAAGATGGAGCCGAGGGCAGAAACCACGATCTAAGAAGAGATTAGAAAAGCAAGATTATACTTGATAACATAGCATGGACATATTACTTTCACGTAAAAGCTGAATTTCTCCAAACCTTCTCTTTGTTGCCTTCCACTGTGGATGACTGGTTGATCTCCAGGAAGAGGTTGGATCCTTCTGGGGAGTTCTCTGCTGCTGGCTCAGAACTTGTACTCTCCTCAAAGCTGTGTAGCTTGATCACCAAATCAAGAAGTATTCCCATTAAGGCCTTCAGAGGGGCTGTTCCTGTGTCTTTAGAGAACTGTGGAAAGGGATATGTGTGGTGTTTATTTTTCAACTTTGTAATGTACGGTCTAGTAAACTTGTTTTGTGCTCTTACTGTGCCAATGTTTTCCACTGTTGATTTGATGTAAAGTAACATCTGCTTGATGGCTACTGGAAAATCTGCCATGGACATGGAAGCGAGGGCTCCATCCACATTCTCCTTGAAGGTGACCTCGAGCAAAGTGTTTGGTCCTTGGCTGTACGCAGATTTCATCAGTGCATTAAATGAAGTGTGTGTGGACAAAACCATAGAATCGCATTCAGAGGATGGGAACTGTGGAAGAAAAGACAACTGTTATTCTCTACATGATCAAACACTAAGTGTCATTCTTTCAGTTAATTCGTTTCATAGTTAAATAAAACAGACCAGTTGCTCCCGGCACGGCTGTGGTAGCCATTGGGAGTAATATTGATGTAGGTGGATGACAGATGGATGAGGAGAGGCAGAGTGCTCTGCAGACACGAGTTCTTTATCGTACTGCAGCAACGCCAAACAGAGGGGGAGCGGCTCCCTCTGGCAGTGCAGGACATCTGAAAGCACCGCGGACAAGTACTCAAATACCACTCCTGAGAAAAGAACAGAGATATTGGAACCAACATTAAAACATACTGCACAATTAGAAAATACTCATCAAGGTGGAGCAGTCAGGTTGAAGGTAAACGCTTAATGCAACCAACGAGTAACTATGACTATTTTACAAAGCATGAACGGTTCCACGTGTCTCATTTCTGTCAGACGGGCTTACCGGTGCCTATTGAAAGTTTGTTTCGGGCCTCCAGAGCAGCAGGTACCATCCCACTGAAGGGGAACGTCTGGGTAATGAGGTCTTCGTTTAGAGATGGCCCAAGCTCCTCCATCTCACCTTCATTACCCTCCATAATGACATCCAGCATGTCCAAGACATCTACAAGACAGACAGATGTCGGATTGTAATAAAACACAGGCACGCTTATGAATCTAAGAAATTCACATTCACACAGATTCCGTCTTGAAATGCTCACCATCTATGTGAGAGACTGGGATGCTGACAGCGTCGCCGTCCGGGCCACTGAGGTTGGCTTGGAGATAAGCGGCCTCCTGGACCAGGCTGGCGACCTTATCAGTGTATGTGTAAGAGTTACACACCAGTCTCACTAATACCTAGAAAAAAAGAGACCAGACGTGTATTACCCAATGTCACTACTGTGTACATTTTACACAATGTCTGAACAGTAATAGACACAGACGCTGACGTGTAAACAGATGTTACATTGATGGGCTCACCCTCTCCAAGAACTGAATGACAATCTCCTGTTGGCGTTCTTCTAATCTGGCCAGCTGGTCGAGCCAAATCTCAAGCTCAGTCCAGGTGTAGTCAAACACGCCACTGTCCTTTAGCACCTGATTGTGAGGCGAGAATCACAAAGCAGTCATTTCCATTGCTAAAACACACTTTTCCTAATGCTGGTCTTACTTCATCAACTCAAGGAAGTTAAAAATAAACTAATATGCAGTTTACCACAAAGATAATTTATCTTCAGAATCGTTCAATTTAATACTTAAATGTCCTCACTTTTAGAACCAGCATCCGTGTGGATGTAGTCAGGTGGCTGCTGCTGCTGCTGACAAACATTTTGAGAAGCAGGTAGAGTACAGACTTCTCTCCGGATGATGGTTCGGTATCTGCAACATCCTGGGAAGACAGCAATACACAACACATTGGAAACAAAGTCGACAACAAAGCAAGACTTTCTAAACAACCAACACGGGAAAAAAGAAATTAAGAACAAAAGTGTAACGCCTTCACCTGAATGTGAAACCAGGAGAACTTGCTTGCAGGGAGCTCTAAGGCCAACTGCAGTATTTGGTACTGCAACACTGGGGGAACTCCTTCTCTCATTCCTTTCTCTGACACAATCCCTACAGAGATAAAAAATATATATGTTGACTTCGAAGTGTTTGTTGGAAAAGAACCTGCATCATACTCAAAACATTACACGTTACATGAAAACAGTAACAATCATTTTTTAAAAGAATCACCTTTTAAGAGCTTGCTGAAGTCAAATTTGCACTGGCTAACCAGATGTGGCACTACCTTCTGGTAAAGACACAAGACCTGAAGAATCAGAGTCTTCAGCAGGATTACCTCCGCTGTCTCTGGAACTGCTGAACACACACACAAAAAAAACATGTCAGTCAAATGTTTTGGATGAGTTACTTTACAGGACTGGTTAGAATGAAGAATATTTATGTTTTTACCAGGCACTTTATTGTCCTTCTGCTCGACCCCTCCTTCGGTTTTGGTCTTGCTTTCTTCGTCCTCCGTCTTTTCTTTCTTGCTAAGCAGCTGCCACTTTGAAACTAATGCCGTCGTATCAGGCAAGATCTGGAACAAAGCACGGAGAGCGGAGTTTGGGTTGTTTACTGGAGCATCATTATCATTTGTGGTTATCAGTTCAGCTCCTTGCTGAGCTTACCTTGCTGAGTGTCTCCCGGTACCGCAGTACCAAATCCTCCATCATGTCTAGAGTGTAGACATCTGAGCTGTGCCACTCAGACTCCTTCATAAGGTACTCCATATTCTTATTGGCTCTTTTCAAGATGAAGTGCATCGTGGTGAGAGTTGTGAGCTGCACTGCTGTGTTGCAAAGCTGTCAGATGAAAGAGGAGATATTTGGAATAGTTGACAGCATTGTATAGTTTATTTTCAGTGTTTTGTGTTACTGCCATTACAGCATCGATCAGTTCCTTTCACCGTCACTTACACTGAGGCCCTGTGTGAAGAATGTCTTGTTACAGACCGGAGGAAGAGATATCACCATGATCATGGACAGCAGGCGAGGGAGGGGGATGAGCTCACAACTTTGGAACACTGAGGAAATGTCTGGCTGGGCTTCGTATATCTGAATAAAGAATTCAAAAAGGATTTTTTTTTTAAACATACAAACTAGATATGATCCAACACCGAAACAGCCTCATGAAAATAAAATCTACAAGAAGGTGTTTACCTTTTTAAGTAACTTGACGTTGTCTTGCCAAGCACTTTTGAGGCGGGGGGTGTATGAATACTGGGACTCCTTAAAGTATCTGGCCAGCATGTCAGGGCACGCTTTCAGGACATTCACCACCAGCTCCGCCACCAACTCATCCTCCGTCGCCTGCTTCTGCCCCGCCAGGAACTGAAGCAAGACAATGTTGCCAGCTCTGTAAAAAAAAATTGAAATCCTTTCATCAGCATGCGGAGTCTTCATGAGAGTGAAATATAAACGTGAATCTCCGTGTACTTACCTTCCAGCTGTGCCGAAGCTTGCATCGTGAAAGATGATGCCATGCTTACGAGAGCAACACAGGTCGAGAAGGAAACCGTGGACGAGTTCCCGGATGACAGATATCGCGGCATGCTCTGGGTCCTCTGACATCTTAAAGACGACAAATTACATTCAGAAAGGATTTATACAACAGAGCCTTTGCTTAGACAAGAAGTCAAACAGCGAAAACTCACTCTGTCATCATCAGTTGTTGCGTCCACAATCCCATTCCATTTATACAGGGATGCTATGTTGGCCAGGAGAGCAGGTGTAAAGAACCGCACTTTCTGTGTTTTAGTTATGGCCTTGTTAAGCACAACCTGCAGCAAGACAAATACAAACACATCATAATCAATAATAATTAATTCATTCAAGTTTAAATGGAAAGTATAAAATAAAGACTTACTCTAGTCCTCAGTGTGGACAGAATCAGATTGACTATGGACATCCTGTCCTCCTTCAGACCTGTGCTCAGGATCTCTGGCAGGAGTTCTGACAAACAGAAATGTGCATGCTATTAACAAGCCTGATATGAGAGTATGCATGCAGCCATGCGTGTGCACTCATTACCTTTGCTTTCTAATATCTGTCCAACGGTAGCAATATCTCCAGACACCAAAAAGGACAGCACAAACTGGATAAAAGCCATGCGGACATCGGGTCTTCCCTGGTGAATTCAAGGAGAGGAATGTAAGCATAAATATCTGGAGAACCCAACAAACATATAAAAACACAAGTAGGGGGAAAATGCTGAACAACACACCTTCTTGTCCTTTCTCCTCGCCAGTCCAGACAGAGCTTTATTGATGTGAATGTGACTTAGCACCTCCCTGGCAGCTTCTGGACCCTGAGACACCGAGGCGGACAGGAGACTGAGGCACTGACGGACAAACCTGTGCACGGAGGTAACACAACGAGGTTTATGCAATGTCAGAGAATAAAATTTAACCGTGCTGAGGGATCACAGTTGATGCCACTGCAGTGAAGCACTAACCTGTGATTTTCTGATTGGAAAGATGTCTGCAGTAGTTTCACGTAGCTAGAAAGGATCTTTTTCACAACAGCATTGCCAACCATGCTGAAGTGTGACAAGTCACTCGCTGTCCTTAGAAGGATCATCTCCAAGCTCTCAAAAATTGGCATCATCTGAAAAGAGGCAGGATTGACGCTTTAGACTGACGTGACGTTACAAAATAAGGCAACCCGACAATTCATGTACCAACCTCGCTCGCTATATTCTTTTCTCCATCCAGCAATTTGAATATTTCCGCACACTCCATGGAGATTTTGATATAACCTTCCACCACGTCGTACACGTCAGGGCATGGCAGCTTCTTAGCAGTTGAAATGAACGTTTCGAGGCCTGAAGTTGATAAAAAAAAAACAATTAACCAAAGCTAAACAGCGGAGAGCCATTCTGATGCCGAGAGAATAGAAAAGCATGCTGAAATACTACAAATATACTAACTGGAGTGCATGGAGCGATATGTTAATACATGCATGAATCCCACTCACCCTTCATGGCTGTGGTCGGCTCCTTTAGCATGGCTTTAAACACAGTTCCATTGAACTCCGGAACTTCTTTTTTTACCGGAGTGTTTGACTCCGCAGAGTCTTCGCTTTGGCGCTTTTTACCCATTTTAAAACAAATAAAAACAGATGATAGTGACTTCTAGTATTTTTTCATACATCCATGGCATAAAAGTTCTGTCACAGCCGAGTTACCCACGTTGGTCTGTAAACAGGAGACCGTGCAACGAAATAGTCGGCCGGTGAGAAACATTTGGTCCCGATGTTCCGTTCCGCGTTGTCTGTGTTCCGCTTACCAAGAAGCGCTTCGTCACACATACACGCGGAGAGGAGATCAAACTGAAGATGATAACACTTTGGATACCTATTCAATATAGATCTGCTTTTTTTAATGCATATCCAGGATAAATCCAGTTGTTTTTAATGGATTTTAGAATTAGCTGGCGAAATACATAACAATGCTGTAACAGAGGTGTATAAAATCAACTTAAATTTGATGTCGTTTTGAAAATGTTCGATTCCAACTACCCCGTCTCTCAAGTGATATACGTTTAGATAACCAGGTACGCTCATTGAAATCAAGATCCATTTAGATAGAGACGGCTAAAGAGTACTCAAGAAAAATAAATATAACCAGACAACCAATGTGTAAACTAAAGAATACACAGCCAGACAAAACAAGAAAATCGTCCTGTGTTTCATATTCTTACTACAACAAAAACTCAATTTTATCGAGACTTATCTCAGATTCAGATTCTCGCTTTTTTATCACAAATTTCATATTGTAAAGTTTTAACAAAAAGGATTATTAATTAGGCTTATACATTTAGTTGTACACATGTCTTATTTCAGTGTCATTTCTTGGCAACATCATCTTGAGGCAACATATTTTGCTGATTCCGTGCAGACATAGTTGTGCTTCCGTTTGAAAGACTATTTTAAGTGTGTGGTTTACAACCATATTGTTGCCTCTTCTTCTCAGACACGGCCTAAAAAGATCCCAAAGCTGATCTCAAACGTTTTAAGCACCAAATGCCGTTCATTGAAGCATTTTAAATGGTTTTCTGAAGTATAAAAAGGTTTTGTTATGTTTTGGTGACCTTGATATTGCACACTTACAGTTTGTATTAGTATGTAATCATTTATTCAATAAACATTCATGCAGATGTGGCGAAGAAGCTCCTTGGTTTAAAACCACCCAGCGGGCTTTCTGTGGAGAGTTTTGCACCTTCTCTCTGCGTCTGTGTGGGTTCTCAGGTGCTCTGCTTATCTCCCACAGTCCAAAGACATACTCTGGGGGTTAAATGAATTGGTGACTCTAAATTCCCCGTAGGAGTGTGAATGTGAGAGTGAATGATTGTCAGCGCTGTGATTAACTGGTGTACACAGTCTCTCACCATATTTTAGCTGGGATTGACTCCAGCCCCCCTGCGACCTTCTGGATGAGCAGTATAGAAGTTGACTGTTTATATAGAGAGATGATGATTGCACTTAATGTTCTATTAGAAAATAATTCATTTTCATTGACAATGATGTCTAAATAGGTTCACATGCCTTTCCATTGACAGGCATCGGCTTTCGGTAATTTGCTGAGAAAGACAACAATGGTTTTATTTAGTTTAGTCCAGAATAAATGAGCTATTTTAGTTGCCATTCGTATGTGTGGCCACCGGGGGGGTCCCTTGCTTTGATTGAGAACTGGTAGATGGAAATTCAGCCCTGTCTCGATTATTCAAGAAGGGAAATAGGCAAACACACCAGTAAATTAGACTCTGAGTCACCCGAATGCAAGTCCAACATCATGGATGTTTTATGGTAACTTGCTTTGAGGAGGATCCTGATTCACTGTGTCAAGACGTAAATATGTTCTTGGCAAATATGACTGAGCCTTTGATGCAATACACTCTCAGGTATCTGTTATATGACAGGGCGGAGCAGAGTAAAGCTTCGCTTTGAGTTCATGCTTCTATTTTCACAATTTGATTACACAGCCCCTGTGAATATGCAGCCAAACAAACTTGAACTAAATAACAAACAAACGTAACAAATGTTGAACTTTTGTTAATAGCAAAAAGCAGAAGTGAATACACCTCCACCTGGCTTCTCTAAAGTGTTATCTATTTCTGAGGTCCACGGAGACTAAGTGACCATATCTCTATTTAATGAATACCAACATGTTTTAGTGGATGAATGCCTGCGAGGCATGACATGACTGATTTAAATATGTCTTTGATCATGATGCAGGAATGTCAAACTGTGCTACATAATATAAAGATGACTGAAATGAGTAAAAGAAATGTGCAAGATGCCCCATGAATGCGGAATTGCAATGACGCAATGATACATTATAGAAAACATTATAAAGTTTGGCTTTTGTCTTGAACCCCAAGATGTTGAACACTTTGTGCAAAGAACAAGATAAGAACAAAGAAGAATCCCATAAATGGTCATACATGCTGTGTTGAGATAGATTTGTGGATTTTTTTTGTTATTTCAATCCGGTTACTTTGGAAACTTTGTATGGGTTATTATTTGATTTCACCAAAATGATTGACATATCATAAATTTCTGAACTCCATCCACTCATGCATGGCACATGGTTACTTTTTCCTGATAGCATATCCGACCTAGTGAGAGCCTCGGTCTCTCCAGTCTGTTAAAGCCCTTGGACAAAGGCTCTAAACTGGTGTGTATCTGAGCCTCATGGCAACCTGATCCATGGGAGAGAAATCTGCCTGTTGCCAAAGTGCTTTTGCAGTGGGACCATCCAAGACATGCTGCATGAGAGAGGATGCAGGAGTGGCATCGCTAAACCAAGCCTTTCGGGGGGCATAAATGCCATTTTTATTTTTTAAGTTCCGGTGCTGGTGTGCACCACTTCTCTTTTAGAGAATATGGTGGGTGGATAAAGCCGGTCACTGCAGCCCCTGACAGGGATGGTGAGGCCTTTATAGCTCTGGGACGTAGGAGCAGGATGTTCATCAGTTCAAAGAGGTTTTCAGCCACGTGTGGCTCTCAGGCTGAGTGATCATGTCAGCGGAAGGGCAAACCTCTTCCCTTGAGGTTAAGAAAAAAGGGTTATTTATGACATTGGTGTCCTCCTTGACCCAATGTGCTACACTACTCAGCACTCATATGAGATGTCAAAAGCACTTCAGCGTAGAAATTTTGCAACTTATTTTAAATTTGATGTAATTGATGTTTTTATGCGTTATCATTTTCAGGTTTTTACTGCGGCGTTTGAGAGCTTTCCAACAAAACACACTTTAAGATTACACAGTCCTCTATTTGACGAGTGCCACTGTAAATCACAAGGTTATATACTATACTTAAGCATTTACCTCTCCCGTTATAATGCCAGTAGCGCGACACGGTCTAGATAGAAATGCTGGGTGGCTTCCAAAGAGTTCCTGTTTTTTTCCACAGCTGAAGCCACTTTGCCATGCCTGTTTCCCCCACAGTGCACCACGGGACCCTCGCTGAGGTTGCAGCGCTTCCGTTGTGTGCTTCTCAGGCCCTCCTCACAATAACACTACGGCCGACGCTGACGAAGGATCAAAGATCACCCCTACGCCTAACAAACAGCTGACACTTGGCCTATCAGAAACATCCGGCAGTGGTTGGCTGCAGCTGTCGTTGCATGCCCACACCCGTGCAACAATCAGACTCAGGCCAGATGTGGAGATCATCTCACGTAAGGTGCAGATGTTTCTGTTTCTCAGCCCAAGGAGAAGCAGGATGCTTTCTGATTATTATATTTCGAGTGTTTGTACTGCACGCAGATTGGGTTCAGTGCTTTGGCACAAGCCACCGGCATGTGGGTTGTCACTGTTCAGCAGGCTAATTTGCTTTTGGAAAACAGTGCAAAAATGTTGAATTCTTCCAAATGGGTCCATGAGTTTGAACCACTAAATATCACCTAGTCCGACCCTACTGATGATACAGAGGCAAGAATGTTGCAGAACCTTTTCATTCTACATAATAAGCACTTATGTTGCAGTTTTGGAAATATGCTGCTTAGATTGGTGCTTGTTGAAGTAATATTTACCACGGGGCACTTCATTACATCCCATTTACCCTCAATGTCGAATCCCAATAGCTGTTGCTCTGGATTACAGCGGTGACCTCCCACACAGTAGAACGATTGTGGTAATGCAAAGAACTTACACTCAAATTACAAGTAAATGTCCAAAGAGGTATAAGCTGTAACATGTAACTGGAAATTCTCAGGATGAGTACTCCTGTTAAATGGTTATTGCATTAATGTCGATCCAGCTGGTGCCGATTTTCACTAATGTATAGGGTTGGGTTGCCAGGGGAATGTGTGAGCGGATATGTTTATGTATACATTTTGTAACTACAAAGTGACTACAGCCTTCTGATGCAGCGGAGTAAAAAGAACGATTATTCCTTCGGAAATATAAATTGCACATGATGTTTACAACGAAGAAGAAGAATGAAGTGGTTGGGAAGTGATGAGTTGATACATGAGATTTTCACACATTTTAGTTATTAGGTTTTTATTTTCTTTAAAGAAACTGGTCCAAAGATTTCACACACAGTATGATATCCAGTGAGAAATGAACATAGAACATAACGTAGCGAACGCAACTTTGTTTACTCCCAGTGTGCGTTGACCCCGGACGCAAAACCGCCGCGTGCTGCAGTCAGTTAGATCGGAGAGACGATTGAGAGAGCTTTTTGAAACAGAGCCGCCGTGGAGAGTTTGACAACTGTGCAGAGGAGTTCCTCAAACAGAAGACTGGCAAACAGACTGCTCTACACACAGATAGTGCCCGGAACATAAAAAACAAATTTTAATCGTGATTAATACATTTCAAAATGTGCGATTAATCGATACATTTCTTTAATCCTTTGACATCCCTAATATACATCTATCATTGACTGCAGAGTAGACATATGAATACACTAGATCCCATGCTAATACCAGACCTGAGAGTGTCTGGAGAGACTCATCTGCTCCGGTGGGCTCCCTGTGGGGATTAGAGCCTGTTCCCTCTCTCTGCACACCATTAAAACAACATATTTGGCCCAAGCTCACCGAGTATGACGTAGGAAGTAAAGTTTAGTGATGTACCCTCACTATAACCCCTTCCTCCCCATTCTCATGAATGAGAGAACATTTTTCTGTGCAGCCTTCTTGTGAGACTTGTGTGCTGTGATCACACCAGGGCCCTCGAAATATGAATTTGTTTTTGGTCTGGGATTTAGATGATTCCCCTACAACGGGTTC